CATAATCTACTAGTCACTTTTGTTAGAAATGCATATCTGATATTGGTGTTTTTTTTTCGTTTTTTATTTTTATTTTTATTTTTTTATAATCAACTTTAATTGTTTCTTTGAGACGAGTAGGCTCTCCTGATTTCTTTACAGTTTCGACTCTTCGAGTCGGCTATAAGACTAATCAGGAGTGCGGGGGAACAATTATGGCTAAGGTTTAGCCCCCTCTTCAATGATCATTCAGCGAGAATCGAACACATATCCAACATCACTAACTCATCGTCACAAAACTAACTAAATTGCACCCATTGGATATGATATTGGTGTTATTAGATGCGAACTGTACAAGTTCAAATTATTTTAAACACGCATCTGATAATGACATAATTAAGTATGTAGCCACAAATTATGCGTCTTGCTACATCACCATAGTAATATATTTGATCATTAAATTAAATTGGTGGAATATTTCACACGGTCAAAAGAGCCCAAAGCTATATCACGAATATGAATGTTTTTTGGATACTACAGAAATATCAAGTTCGATACTCTTTGGTATTTTTTTTTTAAAATATAATTTTTTTTATCTCATCTGAATCCGCAGTTTTATTTTTATTTTTTTCCTCAATTTTTTATCCTTTTAGAAGAGATGTAACCATGTATGTACCCTAAGAATACTTAAAAAGCTCTCCAAGAATATGAACAACGATGACACAGGCTGGATAGCATAAAAAAGAAACAACGATAGAGTCACAAAAAACTGAAACCGCATATATCTCTTTAAAAGATATTTTCAATTAAGAAAAAACATTAGGTTTAAAATTTATATATATATTATGATTTAAAAATAATATATTTAAAAAAATTCTACTCATTTTTAATTATTAATTTGCTTATATCTAATAATTCAGATAATTATTAAATTAAAATTATTAGAGGCAAATAAACTTAACAATTATAATCAAAATATAATTTAGATCAATATAAATAAAAGACTCTTCGGGCAATCGGGACCACTCTTTCTTTCTTTCAAATGTTTTCAATTAGGCATAGAAACAAAATTTATTATTCAAGAGTTATTAGTGTAGTAATGACGCACTTAGAGGCGATAATATGGGTTAGTCTGACAGATCAATCAGCCAATCTGTCAAAACAGGATGATTGGGTTGAGGTTTTCAACCTGTCAATCCACTTCAATTCTCCCTGCTATAAAAGTGTGTCAAAACGGGTTCCACTTGTTGCGGGACGGGTTGACCCGGTGAGTCATACTTTTTTTTACAATTAAATAGTATTTTATTTAGTATTAAGTTTTCGTGATATTCAATTTTTTTTTATCTTAATACTCCCTAAAAAAAAAGAATACAAATTTTATTTATGACAAATCTTATATTATAAAGGAATTCAATTCTGTGGAAACCTTGTTGTCGTCATCTTTGTTTTTTAAATAATTGATGTTGATCATGTAATCTAATCTTTTTTTTTAACCTTTATTCAGTTTAATTCAAATCTTTACGTTTTTTGAAAAAAAAAAACAGGATATTTATTGTTATTAAAATAAATGACTGTTTTATTCCATGAAATGACTGTTAAAAAATGGGATATTCATTGATTTATAACTACTTAATCACTCTTTGTCGTTATCTTTGTTTTTTAAATCGTTATTCAGTTTAATTCAAAAACTTCACATTTTTTAAAGAATACAATTCTATTTACTCGAAAAAAAATTAATTAGTAAAAAAAAATTAATTATACATATCCCGACCTTTGTTCCTTATTTTCAGATTTTTAAATTTGAATCTTTTATTAACCTCTTGATTCAGTGGAATCAGGTATGAGTGTTTTGTTATTAGAAAAACTTCTGTTTTATTCCATGAAAATCTCATTTATAACTACTAAATCACTCTTTTGTCGTCATCTTTGTTTTTTAAATAATTGATGTTGATCATGTAATCTAATCGTTTTTTTTAACCTTTATTCAGTTTAATTCAAATCTTTACGTTTTTTTAAAAAAAAATGGGATATTCATTGTTATTAAAACAAATGACTGTTTTATTCCATGAAAATCTCATTTATAACTACTGAATCACTCTTTTGTCGTCATCTTTGTTTTTTAAATAATTGATGTTGATCATGTAATCTAATCGTTTTTTTAACCTTTATTCAGTTTAATTCAAATCTTTACGCTTTTTGAAAAAAAAAACAGGATATTCATTGTTATTAAAACAAATGACTGTTTTATTCCATGAAATGACTGTTAAAAAAACGGGATATTCATTGATTTATAACTACTAAATCACTCTTTGTCGTTATCTTTGTTTTTTAAATCTTTATTCAGTTTAATTCAAAAACTTCACATTTTTTAAAGAGTACAATTCTATTTACTCGAAAAAAAATTAATTAGTAAAAAAAAAAAAATTATACATATCCCGACCTTTGTTCCTTATTTTCAGATTTTTAAATTTGAATCTTTTATTAACCTCTTGATTCAGTGGAATCAGGTATGAGTGTTTTGTTATTAGAAAAAACTTCTGTTTTATTCCATGAAAATCTCATTTATAACTACTGAATCACTCTTTTGTCGTCATCTTTGTTTTTTAAATAATTGATGGTTATCATGTAATCTAATCATTTTTTTTAACCTTTATTGAGTTTAATTCAAATCTTTACGTTTTTTGAAAAAAAAATGGGATATTCATTGCTATTAAAACAAATGACTGTTTTATTCCATGAAAATCTCATTTATAACTACTGAATCACTCTTTTGTCGTTATCTTTGTTTTTTAAATCTTTATTCAGTTTAATTCAAAAACTTCACATTTTTTAAAGAACTATAAATCACTCTCATTTATACAATTCCTGATACGCATTATTCTTCAACGTCGGTGATTGCTTCTCTGTTTTTTCTTCTTACACACAATATGAGTTCAAAATATGATTTTCTGAAGGATGTTAATCCTGCCAAGGAGGACTGGAGGATTAAGGTGAAGGTGGTTCGGACTTGGAAAGTTCCTAACTTTCAGCGTAAAAATTTGGAGGACAATCTTGAAATGGTTTTATTGGATGAACAGGTTGTGTTCGGTGTTTTAAAAATCTTCCATCTTTGTTTTGATCATTTTAGTTAACGTTGTTGACATAAGTTGGCTCCATTCTTTTGTAGGGTGGTAGAATCCACGCCACTGTCAAAGGTACCTTGCAGGTGCAGAATAAAATCAACGAAGGAGAGTGCTATTTTATAAAAAAAATTGGAGTTGGATTCAATAGCGATGTGTTTAGGCCAACCAAGCATCAGTATCGTTTGTCTTTCAACTTGAGGACTGATGTTAAATCGATTGTTGTTTAAAACTTATACTCAATATGGATGATTCCAATGTGCCATTTTTATTTTTATTTTTACAGATCATCTTGGAGAACATTTGTCTGCAACTTATACTCAATATGGTGAGCACAAATCCGATTTAATACGCAGTTAAAAATATTTTTATATTAAAAATGTCTTTTGTAATTTTTGTTACATTTTTGCTTTGTGTTACAGATACTGATGTCAATGACTCCAATGTGCCAACTATTACCTCTATCCATCAAGGTCTTTATATTAATTTTCAATTTTCAATTTTCAAATATTGAATCACAACTCTTTGTTCCTGTTGGCCTCTTTTTTTTTTAGTTTTCCATTCGTTATCCTTTGTGTTACAATCATGGATATAGATGATTCGAATGTGCCAATGTAGTTTTTGTTTTGTTTTTTACAAAGTATTTTTTTTATAGTCTACTATTTATGGTGAAAGCGGTGCTCATTTGGTTCATCTAATACATGAAAAAAAAAATTGTGTTCACATGTCTTTTTTTTCCAATCATTTTTTCTTTCTATTATAGATATTTATATAAACAATTTCAATGTGCGAAACACGTTTTATATCAATGGAGGTCTTAATTATAATTTCAAATTATATATTTGCTATTACAAATAAAAAACTTCCTGTCTGACAACCAAGCTTATTTCAATCTAAAAATATTTGTATATGTTTAGATTATTGGGACGCAGGGTATCCTACTTTTGTTTGCGATCATTGTGGAGCACAAATGAGGTATGCAGAAAGAACTAAGAGGGATCGTAACCCAAGTATGCCGCAATTTGGATTGTGATGTGTCAATGAAAAAGTTCAACTTCCTTTGTTAAAAACTGCTCCGGATACATTGCTTCAATTGCATGCTAATTCCAATATGACGAGCCGCCATTTTTTGCGAAATATTAGAGCGTACAATATGATTTTTTCCTTCACCTCCTTTGGAGCAAAAGTGGATGGATCAGTAAATCAAGGTTCTGGCCCTTACTGTTTTAGAGTTGGGGGGAGAGTTCATCATTTAATTGGCAGTCTTCTGCCTGCTGATAGTCAGTCTCCAAAATTTGCTCAACTTTATATTTACGACACTGAGCATGAAGTGGACAACAGACTTGGTTGTCTAAGGTGTATTTTTTTTTGACCCAATTCTCATGTTTCATATGTGGAGTATCTTTTTATGTTGAGTAATATGAATGACAAAGTTTTTATTTATTAAATTTGCAGTTCCACCAGTACTGAAGATATGCTTGATCCTGAAATTATCCGATTATTGAAGCAGATGTTCGATAAGCACAACAGTATAGCTCAGTCTTTCAGGTACGCTAGAGACCGTTATAAGGAAGATGACTTTAATGGTGTAAAGTTGAGGCTTATTCGAAGGCGTGGTAGTGATGGAAGAGTTTATAATCTTCCGACAGCATCCAAAGTGGCAGCTTTGATTGTTGGAGATATAGACAGTGCTATGGGCGATAGGGATATCATTATTGAAACGATAGAGTATTGCAGCGCATCGATGTGAAGCATCCATTATATCTTGGCTTGCAGTATCCATTGTTATTTCCATACGGTGAAGACGGTTATCGTGATGATGTCCAGCGTACTGTATCCAGTGGTAGGAAAAATGCAAGAGCCATGATCAGCATGAAGGAATTTTTTTCGTTTAGACTTCAGATGCGATCTGGAGAATCAGAAATTCTACATCGATCAAGGAAACTTTTCCAACAATTTCTGGTTGATGCATACACTATGATTGAGTTTGAACGGCTTAATTTCATTCGATATAACCAGAGTCATCTGAGAGCTGAGTTGTACAAAAATATAAAACATTCATTAGATAGTGGTGAAGATGCAGCACTGAGCACTGGAAAACGTATCATTATACCTTCTTCATTCACAGGCGGACCTAGATATATGGCTGAAAATTGTAAAGATGCTTTCGCAATTTGCCGTTGGGCTGGATATCCTGATCTTTTTATAACAATTACGTGCAATCCTAAGTGGACAGAAATTACACGATTTGTTAGGGCTAGACAGCTGAACCCTGAAGATCGGCCTGATATTCTATGCAGAGTCTTCAAGTTCAAATTGGACCAGTTGCTACATGATTTAAAAAAGGAAAATATTCTTGGCAGAGTCATTGCATGTAAGTATATTATAAACTTGATACTCTTTTTGTTAACTGGATTTTATACAAAAAAAATTATGTCATGCATTGAATCTTTCTATAACGTTGTTGTATTCTTATTATTACTTATGTTATATTCTTTGAATGTAACAGATGTTTGTACAATCGAATTCCAAAAGCGCAGACTACCTCATGCTCATATTCTTCTATTCTTGAACCCTTCAAGCAAAGCTGAAAGTGCTCTTGATATTGATAAATTGATTTCAGCGGAGATACCTGACAAGGAAACGAATCCTACGCTGTTTATGGCTGTCACGAGTTACATGATACATGGTCTATGTGGTCCTGAAAATTACAAATCTCCTTGCATGAAGGACGGACGATGTTCAAAAAAATTTCCAAAAAACTTCTGCTCCCGTACTTTGATTGACGATGATGGATTTCCTCATTATAAGAGAAGAAATGATGGGAGAGTTGTGAACAAAAATGGTGTTGAACTTGATAATCGTTATGTTGTGCCCTATAATGCACACCTTCTTTTAAAGTACCAGGCTCATATCAACGTTGAATATACTTGCCAGAGAAGTGCCATTAAATATCTTTTTAAATACATCCACAAAGGGAATGACAGAGTGACAGCTGCCATAAATCATTCGGACGATGAAATAAAAATGTTTTATGAATGCAGGTACTAAAAATAATCTCCATTGTGTTTTGCTTTCCTACAAAATTGGCACAATTTTTTTGAGAAATTATTAAGTTAAATGTTCACCGATTTATTTATTTATGATAGGTATGTCTCCGCATGTGAAGCAGCTTGGAGAATATTTGGATTTGACTTTCATTCGAGATATCCCCCTGTTCAGAGATTGCCATTTCACTTGCCTAATGAAAAGAACATTATTTTCAGTGATAATGATTCGTTGTATGATGTAAAGACAAGGGCGGAGTCTAGACTGTCAATTTTTGAGTCTTGGATGGATGCAAATAAAAAATATCCAGAAGGTAGGCATCTAACTTATGGAGAGTACCCGACTGAATTTGTTTTCAAAGAAAAAACGCATGAATGGAATCCGAGAAAAAAAGGATTTTCCATTGGAAGGATAAATCGTTTTTCTGCCAATAATGGAGAAGATTCATATCTTCGCAACTTGCTTAATTTTCAAAGAGGTTGCACCAGTTATGAAGATCTTAGAACGATCAATGGCGTGGTTTTTCCTACATTTAAGGATGTGTGCTATTCTTTAGGACTTCTGGATGATGACAATGAGTACATTGATGCAATTAAGGAGGCAAGTTCCTGGGGATCTGCTGCTTATCTTAGATGTCTGTTTGCTCTGTTGTTATTTGCCAACGCAATGAACAGACCTGAAAAAGTTTGGGAAGAGTGTTGGAAATTTTTATCCGACGACGTTGTTTATCGGCATAGGAAAAGAATAGGACGTCAAGGTACGTGTTATAATAATATTTCATACAATTTTTTTTGTTTAACCGAAATCAGCATATGCTGCCTTAGTATTTATTAGCTTTTTTTGCCCGTATTCAGCAAATGTTGCTTTAGTGCTTTTTTTTTTTTTTGCTCGCATTCAGCAAATGATGCTTTAGTACTTATTTCGCTCTCTTTTCTTTCTTTGATTACTTTATCTTTGTTAATTTTTTAATTTTTTTCCCTTTGAATTTTATGCTTTGTCAGATGCAATTCTTACAGAAGAGTCTATAAAAAACATAACTCTTGAAGAAATTGATAAGGTACTGCAGAGCAATGGGAAATGCCTCTCTGATTATCCGTCAATGCCACGCATCAATAGTGAAACTTTGCTTGATATGCAAAATCGATTAGTGTTGGATGAATTAATGTATGACAGATTTGCTTTGGAAGAGGAGCATAAAAGACTAATTAATTCCCTCACTGATGAGCAAAAAGCTGTTTATGATAAAATTGTTTCAGCAGTTACGGCAGGTAATGGAGGGTTATTTTTCCCATACGAGTTCGATGGTACAGGAAAAACATTTATTTGGAATACTCTTTCAGCATCTATTAGATCAAAAGCTGGAATCGTACTTAATGTTGCTTCTAGCGGAATTGCTTCCCTTCTGCTTCCTGGAGGACGAACAACGCATTCTAGATTTCGTATTCCTATTCAAATCAATGAAGATTCAACGTGTAATATAAGGCCGAAATCTACTATAGCTGAGTTGCTGTCAAAAACAAAGCTAATCATTTGGGATGAAGCTCCAATGGTACATAGATTTTGCTTTGAGGCTCTGGATAGGACACTGAGAGATGTTCTTAGAATTTCTGATACAAGCTGTGTTGATATGCCATTTGGTGGAA